TGTGGCTCGTGCAGAGCCCTGCAGTCCCTCTGGTGCTGTTCACCAGCAGGGCTGGCTGGCAGCTCTCCACACGGTCAGTAAATATTGCCCTTATCTGATACAGCCAGGCTGGGAAGATATGCCTGCAGCCCGGATTAGATTGCTGGCTACTGCTGTATTAATCAATGTAATCATTTATTTTTAGTTTTAGAAGTCATATCATCTGTTTTCTTTCTCATATTACATTTTCTGTGGGGCTGGTACAGAAAATGAGCCCTGTTTAAAAATTAAAGGTGGCTGAAAAGTTTCAGTGGAATATGTTTGGCACTGTCATGGTTTCCCTGACAGCTGATGAATGTTTCCTTAAAAATGCTTTTGTCAGAAGTGTGAGAGGTATAAAGAGTTTTATTTTTGTATCTAAATTAGCTGTCTTCAAAACTATACATAGAAAGATGTTTCCATCTTTTTAATAATTTTAATGAAGCAAAGTTCTCAAGTGCTATATTCCTTATTTAAACTCATAGCTCCTAGCCTGTACTTCAGTGTTTAATCTGAGATATTTATTATTAGAAAAGGAGCTATTTGGCCTAAACTTTTAGAGAAAATAAGGCAGTGACTGCTGCTTGTAGAAGTGGTATTGCTTGGTTTTGAGGGAAGTGTTGGGGTTTTTATGTGGGGTTTTTTTTTTGCATATGACAGTCTAAAAGTAGAGAAACAAATTTCTTTTTCCAAACGTATCAGTAAGCTGGGGAGAGAAGAAAAAAAAAAAGAAAGAAGAAAGTAATATGTGCATCACATGAAAGGAAGCAAAGCTTTGAGGTCAGAATTGCTTGTCTGATGGTCAGACAGGAAAGCTGTGAGAGAGCAGAGAACCAAGGGTGGCTCTCAAGCCTGAGGGTCTCCCCTTGTGTCTGGGCTCCTCCTGGGATCCCCTGCAGCAGCAGAGCTGGCCAGAGGCAGCAGAGCAGGGACAGAGGTGGATCCTCAGCTGCCATCCCAGGATGTGTGAGCTCCTGCAGCCCCACGAGCTGCAGCTCTGTGCTCAGAACTGGTGCGTGGAGCTGGTGGGACTGGCTTGGCTTTCATGCTGCCGTGGCTCCAGTGCTGCAGGGTGCATTGTGCAGCCAGAGGGGTTTATCAGAGCTCTTTGAAAGAAGATCCATTAATGGGAAGAGCCAGGAAAGCCGTGCCGTGGGTGATGAGCAGGATGCAGTCCCTCGGTGAGCCCTCTCCAGCTGACAGACACGGTGTGGGGGCTGGCAGCCTCGTGGCAGAGCCACGCAGGAGAAGTGTTGAGCATTCCAGAGATGCTTCTGAGCGCAGAGCAGCGATGTGACAGATTTGAGTTCTTTTCCAAGTTCTGGAGAGAAGCATTCTTCCCTTTGGGAAAAGAGGGGCCTTTTTCTTCCCTTTTTCCTCAGGTTTGACTCATTCTCCTCCATTCCTGCTGCCAGCCTTTGCTGCTGAGGGCTCTGCACCACCCTTGTTCTGCTCTTGCTCTGCTCTCCCCTTCCCACTGCTCTTGCAGCACCTTGAAGCTGTTGCTGTGCTCCTGTCTGGTGTTTTCTCTTCTGCTCAGCCTCTCTGCTCTGCTTCTCTGCTCTCCCCAGCTCACAACCTCTGGTTTTAGGGGCTCTGCACATCCTTAGGTCTTTGCCTGCCTGTGCTGTCTCATTTTTTCCCCCTAACACAAGTAATTTTCACTTCTCTCTGCCTTCTGGTTCCATTTCTGTCAAAGTGAGAACTTCATTGACACATTTATTGTGGTTTGACTTTGATCCCTCTGTGTTTGAGTGGGAGGATCCTGCTCCTTGTCTCTTGATTGCCTCAATCCATCCCTGTAGGAAAGGACAAGCACAATGGCAATGTCCTTTGGACCCCTGGATGGGCCATTTCTGGGGATGGGACATGTGGACCAATGCAAAAGCAGAGCTCCCAGGTGTTGGAATGTCTTCATTTGGGATGGAATTTTAGGGTTTGCGTGAGCGTGTTGGAGCTGTGGTTTTTTTTAAATGTGTGACCAAATCTAGTCAGACTTCCTTGAGGAGGGGAAAAGGAATTTTCCATGCAAAAGCCATCCCACATACAAATGCTAAACCCACATCAGGGAACGTGGATGGTCTGGAGAGTTTCCAAGGCGAGGCACCAAAACCTTAAATAAAAGTGTCATTTTTCTAGCTTCATCTGGAGAGCGCCTGGAACCCCGGTGAACAGGATTTTCTGTGAAAATCAGTTTCAAGTGAAGCAGGCAGTATAGAAATCATGTTTTAGGCGTTTCAGACGTAGTTGGGAATCACAGAATGGCTGGGATTGGAGATCATCCAGTCCAACCTCCCGCCCAGGCAGGGTCACCCTGAGCAGGGGACACAGGAGCAGGCCTGGCTGGGTTTGGGATGTGCCAGAGAGGGATGTTCCCTGAACTCCTGGTGTTCCAGCGCCTGCCACCTCCATGCAAAGAAGTTCTTCCTCGTGTGGAGTGGATGAACACAACAGCTGGGCCTTTCCAGGGCTGTGGGACAGTGCCTGGATGGTCTGCAGGATCAGGGTTGGTCTGTAGGAGCAGGGTTGGTCTGTAGGAGTGCCATGCAGCTCTTCAGAGCAGAGAAGATAAGCCACCATGAGAGCAGCCCCTGAGCCCTGGCCCAGCACTGCTGGGTCAGCCCTGAGGATTAGGAGCAGCTCCAAGGTGATTAGGATGGATTGTTTGTTGTTAAAAGAGGGATTTGGGTTTTTTCCTTAACAAACCAATCCTTCATTTGTAGCTGGGCTGGGTGTTTACATCCAGATCCTGAAACGAGGGATATTTCTCACTCTACTCCCGAGCTGCTGGGGTGAAACCATCACTTGTTACTGTGAATATTTGTTGCTATACGGCCCAATTTGCACAGCTCCTTGCATAACAGCATCCCAGTGGAGCAGCCGGTGGTGCTGCTGGGAGGGAGCCCTTGTGCAGACTGCAGGGAATGTGGCAGTAATGGAAACAATATGGAGTAAGAGCGTGTTTAAAGAGTCAATTTTAAAGGCTGGGATAATTGTGCAAGAAACTTGGCTTCAGAAACATGTAAGGGAAGGAATCTTGATTCAGCCAAATAGGCCGTGAAAAATCCATACAGCTTTTCTGGGGTTTTACAGAAGTCCTTGTTTAACTGTTTCTGGTGCTCTCCGTGTGCAGAGCTGCCCTACCAAGCTGTTCCTGGCGGCTGTGCTCGCCTCCGTCCCAATTAAAGGAGTTTCTCTGCTTTGTTTCAGCCCTGGAATGAGGTCAGATGTAAGCTCTTCTCCATCCACAACCTCAGCAACCACGGGACCACCTCCCAAGCTCTGCCTGGTGTGCTCCGACGAGGCCTCGGGGTGCCACTACGGGGTCCTGACGTGTGGCAGCTGCAAAGTCTTCTTCAAAAGGGCAGTGGAAGGTAGGACCTCCTCATCAATACAAGATCCCCACACACATCAGCCATTTTCAGACCCAGCATCCATGGCTTTGCCAGAGTCCTGCTCAACCCATTAGATCACTGATCTTGTCATGGTAAATCACATTGATAATGGTGCATTATCCAAAGCATGGATTCCATTCACATTGGTAAAATGCTCCCATTCACTCCGTGTAAAAGAATTTATTGTTGTTTTGGCTTTTGTCTCTTTCATGTTCTTTCACTGTTGTTTTTGTTTATTTGTCCCGGTTTTATACAGATATTTGTCTGTGTGGAATAGATTCGTAAAGTTTGTGATTTTTCAATTTATGGTTAGCTGGTTTGTGTAGAAAGCTTACATGGAACTTGGTAAATGTGTTGTGTGTGAGGTTGTTGTAGTTTTCCTGTAAACAACGTTGGTTGAATTGCATCCATGTCCCTGGGTGTTACTTGCAGGGACACGGGGTACCAGGGGCGTGTGTGGGATTGGATCACTGAGATTTCTGTCCAGTTGTGATTAGAGAAAACCATTCTGGAAAACAGAGAGGATGGAAAACTAATGTGAATGAGGGCTGTGTGGATTTTGGGTGCGTCAGTAGCCATTTGTGAGGGACCAGGTTGTACCTCAAGATCTGACTGTGCTTCAGTATCACGTGCAGAAAAACTGGAGCATACTCCCAGTGTTTCTGGGAAAATGGTGATTCCTCAGGTCTGAGAACATCATTCGTAGTTCTGGCCCTCAGGGTTTCCTGTCTTGTGCCTGCCTCGTGCAGCCCTCTGTGAAGCAGGCTCTTTCTGCTGACATTTGTGCAGCTGGGGTCACTGGAGGAGAGGGAAGGCTCTCTGCAAAGACAGCCACCATTCAGCCCTCAGCAGCAGCGCTTCCCCCAGTTCTGGCTCACAGGTGCCCTGGGGAGCTCCATGGAAGGGACAGCAAAGTCAAGTTCATGTGGTGGTTTCTGCTGGTCACAAAGGGCTGTTGGCTCTGTGGCAGCTGAGGTATAACAAGGCAGCCTGAGCTCAAGTGCAAGGCAAATAATCATCTGTACCTTTGATTAAAACATGGTCACCAGAGATCCCTCAGAAGACAGTTTGTAAGGCAGCGGGACACGTGCCATAGCCATGGGTTTGCCTGTTCTCAAGCTTAAATAAATCACAAAAGTATTGATACAGGAAGGAATCACCCCAGTGATTCCTTTTGGGTTTGACACACAATAAATCAGCTGTCTTGGTATTAAAAATGTAAGCAGGCTTGTGGCAATAGTTCCTCGAGGCTCACCTCTGCCTGCATTTTGACTGTGCCACAAATTATCCCACTTCTCACAGAATCCCAGAACCATTAGGGTTGCAAAAGACCTCCGGGTTTATCAAGTGGAGCCTTTGATGGATCACCACCGAGTCAGCTGGGCCACAGCACCAAGGGCTGAGCACCCTAAACCCTTCCATTCCATGACATGGATGTTTGCAGTACTGTTCCAGGATCTGTTAGTCCTAGTCCTCACTTTAAGGAACAAATAATTCGGTTTTTTCTTTTATAGGCATTTTTCTTATTAGGAACACATGTAAAAAGAATTTGTTTCTGCAATATCCTTTTTATTAGTGGCTGCCAGGCACCTGTTAGTGCTCAGATCAAGCTGACTCTGCACACTCATTATCCGGCCTTCAGCCAAAGCCCTTTTTTCCACCTTTGCCTCCAGGCCTGTGTACTGGGACAGAAATAGTCACAGAAACTGGAAGTGTCAGTGTCTACAAGTCAGTATAAAGTGCATTTTTTCAGCAAAGAGTAGAACCAGAGGAGAAGAGGCAGGGTGAAGGTGGGACAGCAGCTGTTGATTTATGTGCAGTTCTTCAGGCACACAGGTCTTTCTCCAGGAGCCCAGGCTGGCCAGAGACAGCTTTTTGTAGTTCTGATTGTGGTGTTTCAGAGCCCAGAGCCCTCGTGGCTGAGTTTGTCCAGCCCCAGCCCTGCTCAGCTCCCAGCCCTTCACCCAGTGTGCCAACCTGGATCCTCCCAGCTCCTCACACCTCCCTCCTGCTCTGCTCCAGATCAGCCTCTTCGTCAGCACTTTCCACTCCATCTTCCAGAGTCCTTTGTCTGCAATTCCCAACCTTTTTTAGGCTGCTGTGCTCAAATGGGCCCAGAGCTGTTGGTGCCACAGTGTGTCAGAGCCCTGGTGCCAGCGGGGCTGTGGGCAGCACGGGCATGGGCATGGGATTGGGATTGGAACTGGGGATGGGGATGGGGATGGGATTGGCCAGCCTCCAAAAAATGTCCCTTTGTGCCCCAGATCCCCCTGGAAACTCCTGCCTTGGCTCACTCCCTGTTTTTAGCAGAGTATTTGTGGAGTGCCTGGGTTTGAGCAGCAGAGAGAGCTGGAGCACATTCCACAGCCCTGGGCAGGAGGAGGATGTGGAGCACCAACTTCCCTTCATTCTCCCCCAAAATGGTCATGGGACAAGAGGCTTTGGTGTAACATAACACAAAGAAATCGTGTAGCATGGTCCTAGGAAAGGCAAGAATAGGTGAGCAGTAAATACAAGAAACCAAGCACTTGTGGAGAGGAAGCTCTTTGTTGGGAATAGAGTGGAGCAGCTCAGGAGCAGCCTCACCTGAGTGCCTGTGTTGATGTGTGGAGCTGTGGTCTCACCAGACAGGAGGGACAGGGAGCTGCTGTTGTCTCTGCTGCTCTGCAGTGCTGGCACTGGGGCACCAGTTCATGTTCAGTGTGTGTTTCTGTGTGTTAGGATGCTAATGGCAACAGAATGGTGAGTGGAGGATCTGTTGTCTGCATTAATCAAACACAAAGCTGGCACAAGGGTCAGGAAGGCTCCTCTTCCCTGAGTGGAAGAGGTGGGGCAGTCATTCAGAAAAACATTCCTTGGAATATCAGCTTGAGACGCTTCACAGGAGAAGTTTGGCCAAAGCCATAGGAATGAACTCTGCATGCCCATAATTTTCACAGCTGACTTGTAAGAAATTCCTTCTCCAAGCTGTTTTCCTGTGAGAAAACTCTTGGACTCTGTTGTTAATAATTCAGTGTTTGGAAAATCTGTTTGTTTCTCACAATGTTGTACTGTCAGTACTTTGCAATACAGAGTAAAAGCGCAGGCTGCAGCTTTCTGCCCTCTGGAAAAACATGCTCCTTGACCCCTGTCTGGGAGAAGGATCTATTCTTTGGTAATACCTTTCCCTAAATAAGTTGCATTCAGACATTCATTCACTCACATAAGTCATATAATTAAGAATAGATACTTCTGTTGCCCTTTTCTAAGCAGCTAAGCAATACAGTTATTTTAATTTATGTACTTCAACTTGTCGTGTTTTCAGGGCCAGTTTTGCTCTGAATCTATGAATCCATAAAAATGTCAGAGAGTTTGGTTTGTCCAGGTCAGGCTGTAAGTTCCAGGAAGGTTTCACGGCTGTCCAGCTGATGAAGCTGTGTCTGTGCTCTGTAGAAACGTTTACAAGTGTTTTCTCAGACTGTGTTTGTGCACATTATTTATGTCTCTTGTCAAACTATTTAGAGAAATGGGAAACCTGCTGGAGAAGGCGGCTTTGGTAAACGCAAGGGGAAATAGTTTTAAAAATAGAAGTTGCCTGGTGTTAACAAATAGAAAATAATGTTGTTACCTAAATGTATTGACTTTGGGATCTAAACATGAGAAATGTTTAGGCTTTGGATATGTGAAATCAGTGGGTACTGATGTTTTTTCAAGGCAAGCAGTGCAGCAAGGCAGGGTTTGCTGTGCTCCTTGCTGTCACTGGGGCAGGGTGTGTGCGTGGGAGCTGATGTCTGTCTGTCTGTGTTCGTGGCAGGGCAGCACAACTACCTGTGTGCCGGCAGGAACGACTGCATCATCGACAAGATCCGCAGGAAGAACTGCCCCGCGTGCCGCTACCGCAAGTGTCTGCAGGCGGGCATGAACCTGGAAGGTAACACCCTTGCTGCTGGGGAAATGCTGGGGAACTGCTGGGGAAACTCTGGGGAACTGCTGGGGGCAGTTTCAGTCCGTGCAGCATTCTCTGGGCAGTGTACGGAGACACAGCAGGGCTTGTGCTGCCCCTTCTCCTGTCTGTGCTCACCTGCTGGCCCTGTGTGTCCAGCACAAATAAGGCACGCACACAAACAGGGGCTGTTTCCATCCCTCTCAGCACCTACGTCTCGTGGCTTTTTCATGCAATGTGGGACAGCAGAACTCCAGGAGAGCACCTGGAGGGAGGGGTGACACCTGAGGGAGGGTGTGCTGGCTGAGTGACCTGGCTCTGAGACCATGGACGGGGATTACATCTTCCAGCTTAGGAAAATTGAAATACTTCTGTTCATGCTGTGGATGCTTCTTAAATATCCGACAAAATCTCTCTGGAAAGTGTTGGTTAAACATTTTAACATACCACCACATCATTGTTCTCTGCTGAGTCCTGAATGACTCCTGAGAATCTGAAGGCCACATCAACCAGAGATTTAGCAGCACTTGTAAAATGGCATAAAGCACTTTTATTAGTGTCAGCTTCATTTTATGTTTGCTATTTTTCCCTGAGCAGCAGAGATTAACGCAGCACTTACTGGTGCAGTTATCCTGGTGGTGCGTGTGTGATCAGAATTGTCAGATAAAATAAAAATGTCAAAGCTGTATTTGTCAGCTCCAAGGATGAACAGAATTTCATTTCAGTCAGTGCTAACATCCTTGGTGAGGTGTAAGTGATAAGTTAAAGAGATCAGTGAAGCACAGACTGGTGCCTGTGGTGGCACATCCTTGCCTCCCTCAGGAGGACACTGCACCACTTCTCCTGGCTGGGGAGAGGGAAACTTTTATGGCTGAGAGGGAAAAGGAGTCTAGAAACTCAGGAGCACAAAATGGAAGAACCCAGAGTAGTGTGAAAGACTGGAAAACACCCTGAAAACAAGGATTTTTGGGACAGATCTGAACAGATGGAGAAGTGGTCATGCAGAAAAGCAAACTGGGAGGCAGCATGAAGTGCAGAAGAGACTAAAATCCAGTTTATCTTGCCTATTTTAGGGTCACAGTTTAGGAATGACTGTTGTTCAAAAGAGAATTAAATTTGCATGTTTTTTAGACAGTAATTTCTTTTTGAAGAGTCCCCAGCTGCATCCCCAGTGCATGAACAATGGTTGTAGCAAACCAGTGAATGTCAGAAGAGACCCCAGTGTCCAGCCCATCAGTCCTCAGGCCCCTTGCACTCTCCTGGCTTCCTGCTAGACTTCATCCAGGAGCCTGCCCTGGTTTGGGTTCCTCTCAGTTTCTGGTGCCTGCCGTGGATCTCACTGTTAGCTATTGGGGAGAAAATGAATTTATATTTAAATTAATTAATTAATTCATTCTATCATGCAGTATTTTAATTGACCCATTAAAAGTGGCTCTTTCTGGTCACTTGATAATTTTCTATTAGTGTTTTTTATAATAAAATCATTAAGGCTGGAAAAGACCTCAGGTCCATCAGTCATCCTTTTGGCCCTGCATATCATCCTTTTCTGGAACTTTCTTTTTTCTATTGCATGTTTTTTGGGGCGTAGGGGACTGGAAAAACATCAGACTGTCAGGCTGCAGGTACCAGAGATTTACAGAGCACAAAGATGATATTTTGTACTCCAGCCTTTATTTCCTTGAGTTCTCATTTCCGCTCCCACCGTTAATTGGTGTTCCTTGGCACCCTCTCCCTTTGTGATGTGCTGGAAGAAAAGATTTATTGTTAAGTTTTATGCCTGTAAAAAAACGGTCTCATAATTTTTTTGGCTTTTCATGCTGCATTTTACAGTTAAACTTGGCAATTAATTAGTTTTTTCTGCAGCCTTGGCTTGGAATTTATTTCAGTTTTTTGAGGAATTTTTATTTTTTTCCAGTTCTTTGCCCCGCAGCGGGCTGGTTCTGGCTGCCCGTGGAGGAGGGCAGTGCCTGGTGGCCCTGGGGTGGTGGCAGGTCCCTTGCCCACCTGGCTCAGGTGCTGGGGCCATCTGCCCCCAGGCAGGGAGGAGGAAGCCTCTGCAGGAGCCTGGGGCTTGGGGGGGTTTGTTTGTTTTGAACAGAAAATCTTGGATGCTTTTCTCTCCATGCTGAGTTTATCCGTGGGGGTTATCTCCTGTAAGGTGCCCTAAGGAGCTGGCTTGAAATTAGTGGTCGTCTTATTATTGAAAATTAATTGCGAAGAAATACATTATCTCAGCCTTCTTTTTCTTTTTTTCTTCTTTTTTTTTTTTTTTGTGAGGTACAGCTATATATCTAAGTCAGGACTGGTAACAGCCTGATAAAAATTCTTGCATAATAGTTTGTCTTATCAGATCTGTTTATTTTGATTATAATTTTATCAGGCTTTCTGGGCTGGAAATACTCCATCCAGGTGTCTGCAGGAAGCTGAAGGCATGTGCTTCTAAATTTAAGTCAAAGCAGTTCATTTGCCTTTCAGAACACGGATAAAGGGGCAAAAAAAAAGCCAGAATATGAAAGGATTTTGAAGCAGCCATTTCAAAATTGAGACGAGAATAACAAGAAGCTCTTTGCTCCAAGGAAACAACTCTTGCTATTCCCTCATGGCAGGCTTGGCACATGTGGCCAGTCTACAAAACTTTGGGAAAATGCAGTTTGTGCAAGGTCTGTGGAGGATTCCTTGTCGTTGGCAGTTGGGTTCTGGGGGCTCTGCTGCAGCCGAGGTGGGAGCAGCTCCAGGAGGGGGATCTGGGGCTGCCTTGGTGCTTTTTGGGGATTCTGAACAGCCCAGGAGGGACTTGGAATGCACACCCACGTTACCTGATGCTTTTGTGGGCTGCAGATCTATCTCGGGAGTTGCAGAGCAGAAATGATGATGAGCTGAGGCACCCAGGGCAGGGGCTGGGCTGGTTTGGGCTCTGTTAAACAGCGAGTGCCTTCCGTGTGGCCGCCTGCATCCAGCAGAGCCAGAGCCAAGCAGGAGACTCCATTAGGGACAAGATGCTAATAAAATTGTTGCTCCAACTTTTTGTAGTTTACAGTTAACATCTCTGTGTGATGTTTTATTTATTTGGCGAATGAGTTTTATGGTTTAATTACGCAGCAGTGATTTATATGCAAGAGAGCTGGCAAGAGAAAAAGCTCCTCCTGCCCAGCATTTTAGAAAAAAAAACATTTTCCCTGGCTCAAAAGATCCAGTAACTTCTTACCCATTAAATATTTTTTTTCCTTTCTTTTGCCTAGTTTCTAAGTTTGCTATTTAAAGGAACTTTTAAAGTGTGCAGTCCTGCAGATATTTCCAGTGGTGGCATTGAGCCTTGTATTTTAGGGTCAGCCTTGCATGTTAAGGTCAGCCTCATAAGGTACCTGTAGGCATAACTGGACATTTTGAGGCATTGGCATAAATGTGACTTTTGTTAAAATGTAAGGTATTATTTTCCCTGGGAGTTTGCTTGGAATGAGTGTGAAATTCCAGACCTTGCAAAGCGATGCCATGTGGGTTCTGCTGCCAGCTGTGTGGGGAGCAGAGCAGCGTCTCCTCTGCCGTGTTTATCTCTGCGTGGCCGTTTCCAGCCCTCACCTGTGCCTTGCCTCCCTTTGCAGCCCGCAAGACCAAGAAGAAGATCAAGGGGCTGCAGCAGG